AGCGTAATATTTTCAATTATTACACATTTTTATTATTACTAAAATATTATCTATTATTTGGTTATTACTGTCTATAGTGTAATGGTGGTGGTAGTAGTAGTAGTAGTAGTAGTAGTAGTAGTAGTAGTAGTAGTAGTGGTAGTAAATTGTCGCTTAGATGGAGGAGGGTCATTGATCTATACAATTCGGCTAGCGAAATCATTATTAACCATTGAATTGTTCTTAGTTACTCTATTCGCTTTTAAATATTGGAATTATATTTATCGTTCCTCACTCTTTGACTATAATTACCAGTTTCAGCACTACAGTGTCCATCGTATTAGATTAGTAGTTGTTAAGCTAGTAATAGCATCCTCATTATAAATTATCGTTGTTACTGCTGTCGTAAATAGCGGTCACCTATGGCTTATTCGGGGGTTCATGATATTACTGTTATAATTACTATTATAATAATTATTCTCTCTCCTAATGTATCATAGTTATTATTGTTGTGATATCGATATTGTCAAGCTTTTACTATGTCATTGTATAATTAGTCGTGATCTCAATAATCAGTAGTAGTCAAAGTTATTCATCTTGTAGCGGGCGGTCAGCTGCCTAGGAAACGATGTTTTGGCGGACGCGGCGGCGGCGGCGGCGTCGTGCAATTTACAGACACATTGCATTGTAGAGTGATAACAAATTCTAAATAAGGAAACAATTTTTTTTCTAACGTGTGAATCAGAACTTGTGTGAGGGTTTTGGCTCGCACTCGATTTTAAAGAAAGTAGAAAAAGATTGGCGTGCGCAGCACCTGGCCAGTTGTTAACAGACAATTGCCAGTGTGAACGATGCAACGGCACAACGCTGCCTTGGGCCGTCAACCTCAAACGTTGGTTACCTAATTTTTCTAGAGACCACAACTACTCATAGCTTCAGTCGAGGAATGAGGTGAACGGCTTGTCTTTGTTGCTATGGGTATGCCATCCCCGTAGGTATCAAATATTGGGTTTAAGCCAGTCGATGCGAACGAACATCGATACCCGTATTGTAACAGTTCAAGTAAAAACAATATAGATAAACCCAATGTCGACTCTGTTCAGCTGTAGATTTTGTTGTAACTTTTCAAAGAAATAAAGACACACTATTCAGTCCCTATAAACGTGTGTGATGTAAACCACTCCTGCGGGTCGTTGTCGAAATTCCATACATCTCTATCTAGATAACTCTAGCAACAACAAACTATACAGTATTTTAACAAATAGAGATTACTGCCAGCTAAGAAAAAGGATCAATATATTTTCTGCCACTTTAAGAATTTTGACAGCATTTAGGCTGTGTATCACTAATACTCATGTATCACTCAGCCACAGCTCTACCATCCACAGGATGACTTCGAACTGAAGAGGCAAAATTGCCGTAGGCACAACCCTTCAACCAGTAAGTGCTCTTCGGTAAGGGGTGACTGTATCGAACTCGGTAGCTTGCATGCACCTAGACCATGTATGTGGCCGCTGGATTTGAGATGAAAATAAATAGCTATTAAAAAGTAAACTCAAAGATGTTGACAAAACATTGAACTCGGTTAAAAGGCTCTCTTCTGTTGATTCGACCCTAGATCAGAGTCATGTCAGATATATAGTCAGATCAGACTTCCCATGTCAGCCATGGATGAGTTTTTCTTGGAGCATTACAGAGCTGTTGTTGTTGTTGTTATTATTTTGTGTGAAAGCGAGTACACGAGCTGGATGGGTGAGCGATAGGCAAAAGAGGTCTGTCATTGACTAGTTTCTAGTACATCGCCTTTTAAGTACGGTATCTATCTAATATAATCATAATCATTATTATTATACTAATATTTTATTTGTAATATTTTATCGTTATTAGTCTTAATATTACTAAGATTGTTATTATTTGTTTAATTTATATCAGTGGTGGTATATATTATAGTAATTATCCTTGTAATAATAAGAATTATTATTTTATATCTGACTAGCCTAGCTATGAGCTACGCGACCGTTCCAATGATGGAGCCTCCTTGACTGGTTAGTGTCTGGCTAATCTGCTAACATTCGCCTGAAATGCCCAATTTTTTTGAAGGCCAGACTCGCAGAAAAAGGCTAGAAGGACGTAGAGTTGGAAATTAGTGAAATGGGATGGAGGAGGCAGGTTCGAGAAGATGTAAACGGCAGCGCGCTGTGGAACTGTATCTTCGTTCAAAACCGCAAAGGGCATCACATATACAGCGAAGGCTTGAAGAAGAAGACGTTAACAACAACTCGTTAGTACGGGTGTAATGTTTATGATCAGTATAGCGTTAAGTAGTAGAGGAGATATATCTTACATTCTTCCAGAGTCAGTGTCGTACTGCCCCAAAGCTGTACATTCCTAGGTTTGTTCGTGATAGACGAAATGCAACGTGCAGCATGCGAAAACAGGTTATAGAGCTTGTCGCTGTGCCACAACGCGGGCTTTCTGAGGAAACTTCGATGGAACACTTGGTATCATAACAGTTTGTTGGCGACGTCATCAGAGCGAAACAGGATACAGAATGATTACAACAAGCGCTTGCGCAAATTCAGAAGACAACAGTTTTGATATTGCAACCATTGTATAAGGGATTTCCGCTAGTCGCATAGCACCATATATATATATATATATATCTGCGTACTCTTGTCTCGCCGTACTTCAATATGTATTGTTAAAAATAGAACTCGAATATCTTGAAGTTCTTGGCTCGCTCTGTGATGTGCCACGGCCTGGTTCTCGTGCAAGAAATCACTTTGAGGATCTATAGGGAATATTACTGATATCGGCTGGTTGTTGCCTGTGGGAGTTTGGACTATTTTTTGTTGGTTTGGCATGTTATTTCCTCAATTTTTAAAATTGAGTTCTTGTTGTTTGTATGTATGTATGTATGTATGTATGTATGCTTGAATATAAGTTGGTCAAGTTATTTGAAAATTATTAAGCAATGCATTTAATAAAGCTCTCGAGCGAAGTCTCTCAAGCCGTTTGATGGGTATGATCATAATTCTATCGGGTAGACTTACGCTACGGTAGGCGACTCATTTATTCATTATGATTACATTGTGATTATTATCACAATTAACAGTTGTTTTGCATTATCTTCGGCGGTTATTAAAAACGATTTAAAATCTTTGGTACTTTCACGACGGAGAAAGTTTAGAACTTACATTACAGCTGTCTTTACATGTACATTGGAGTAGGGGACTGTACCGATAACCGGTTGGCGATTTGTATTGGTCGCATATCCAATATATATTGTGCCTAACGCTTTTCATAGTTGATTTACGTTGTCCGATTCATTTCGAACTACGGCGCCATCAAGTTTACATTCACTTGCACCGCTAAATCTTAAAGTCGCCATTGTCCAAGTTTGTATGTCATGATTCTTGAAAAAGTTCAAATATTTGTCTGCATGTCGTGTTAGATCGAGTACGAATCGCTAAATGCATTAGTTCGCTATCGAAGTGCCTTATGCGCTAGCTAGTAAATCAGTTTATATTGTAAGAATAACTAATATTGTTTGTTATGGTTAATTATCATGAAGTCGTATGACACGATCAGTGGTCTCTTGTCAGAACTCTGCCATTGAAACTTCCGCCATATTCTAGTTTCGTTAAACCATGATCTTTCATCAACTTCAGCTTCACCGATACTTGTGAATACATCAGGGTCGTCACATCGTTATTACCCTGAATCGCTGTTTATGATTATTTTATGTCACTGTTGTTTTTTGCGCGCTACTTTGAGCTGCTGTAACCCGAGTTTGACATAGAAGGTGATCTTGACACTTGCCCACAATCGTTTGTCTTCTGAGGTCGCTTCAGTGGAACGCTCTCAGGTGTTAATCGCAAAGTCGATCACTTTGCCGTTCTGTTTGCCCCCGGATGATAGAAAGTGCCGCGTATTGTTTAGTAGGTTCAGTCGATTACCATTATTTGGTTGAGGACTTATTCAGCGAGGTACTTAAGAAGAGGTGCTTCAGGTCTCTTCTTCACTAGTCATTGTTTCAGCTTTTCGTGCTGCAGCTGCACATATTGTAATCTGCTGTTGTGTTTGTTATTGTTGTACAAGGAAGTTCGCTTTTGTATCGAGGACCCTGTTAACCGACACTTTCGAATTCATTTCCTGCCTCTTCGACTTTGGTACTTTTGAGGTATCGAAAATATACTTGTCGAACGTACGTGTATGCCTCAAAGTCGAAAGGCAGTAGCTTTCATCTGCCTTTCCAAGTTGTTGTTGTTGTTGTTATTCTGGTTTTACGATCTTGCTGTTTCCTTTTATCGTTGCTGCTGATTTGTCGTTATGTTGCGATTGCTGTAGATAGCGGTTCTTACTTTGGCTTCGGTGTACATGCGATCCATTGCGGTCTCAGGACCCGGAAGATTTTTTAGTTCCACTCATGTGTATTGGACACGGTCTTACAGTCGATCTAAGCAGTCTTTACCGCTACATGGAACCATGCTATTGATGTGTTCATACGGTTCTTCGACTGTCAAACCCTGCCGGTGCTGTTTTTGCCGGCGTTATTTTGCCGGTTCAAGTTTGCCAATGTTATACATAGACATACACACATACACACACAGACACACACACACACACGCGCTCACACACGGGTGTGCTCTATCTCTGGCGTTGTTGACAATATGGCGTCGATACTAACAGGTTACTCATTATTGATGGATCAGTCTTTGTGTAGTTTTTGTGCCATTACCGACAATGAGACGGTCGTCGTTGTTGTCGTCATCATCACGGTCTTTGTCGAATCCATCATATCTATTGTCTTCATCGCCATAATAATGATTTGTTTGTTCCTCCGGCTGCTCTTCCGTTTTATCGTCTACCTGTTCAATGTTGCGCAAAAGTGCTTGTTGAGATTGGCTATTGCTGCTATTGTTGTAATAGTTTATAAATCTATATGATGTATTGTTGCAAAGATTGTACGGGTGTTGTTCTTGTTGACGCTGTTGTCCTCTGTGTTCTGCGCGCCGTAGTCTTCGATGTTTAGAGTAGGATGGGGGTCCTGATCGACCATCCTACACTGTAGACTCTAGTCACACATCATCCATACATTGGACGGCGAAATGCATTCCCTGAATTTCATCAAAATACGAAACAGAATGCTAAGCGATTAGGTGACAAATGATACACTTGTAGGAGTATAATGTAAGCGACCTGATGCGCTTTTTAGTGATTAAGTTCTGCGAGTCAATGCTTTATAATGCATTGATATAATAAGCGTTTCTTATATTCTTCATGAAAGTTTGAGATGATAGCAGCAATACGTAGACCTTATCAATTCAAACAGTCCGTTTAAACAGACTACTTTCTATAGACAACTGATATCGCAGTTGTATCAGTATTGAAATGATACAGATGATTTGAGAAGAATGAATATGTTTTCTTTGATATCTTTTTTCTATGTTCCAAGCAGTTCATTTTAGACGTAGGTGTTCCAGCTGAGATAATCAGTTAAACTAAATGATATTGGCCTTATATAGAGGCTCTAGTTTTAGGTGATAGCTTCCAGGTACCTTACGGCAATTTACGGATAATCACTGCCGATTTACTGCGGGGATCGTGATGCCAATTACTCCTAACAGATTTTGGGGCCCGATCTATACCATAAGATAACAGGGCCCCACCCCTATTATCGTATGAATGTGGTAGTATACTTGTTTGTACCTGTAAGGGTTGTAGATGAGGCGGCTGGATGTCGTCGTCATCGTGTGGCGGAAACACCAACGACATCCGTCGGCGTCGATTGCGCCGTCTGCGTCTCGTGCAGCCAGCGCAAAGGATCAGCAAGACGCCACACGCTGCACAAAGCGATGTACCGCCAACGACAAGGAACGCATTGATACCGCCGCTGCGTTGACCTAGAAAAGGCGAAGCACAGGTGAAACTACTTCGTAAATGATACGGGAAAATCCGACTATTTTTCTTATAGTTATAATAAGATCGCTGTTCACTAAAACGCACCTCTGTTTCAACAGTATTATTGTCAGTACCGTCCTGAAGTTTACACATGTTCGTAGCGCTGTAACTGTATACTGGTTCTAGTGTCTTTTTACATGTACACATTTTATCATAACTCCCTCCGGTATCATATATAAATTGTTGTAAAGCTAATAGGAAGCTGGCATAATTTATTGAGGCATATTAAAAAAATTTACAGAGCTGTTGAATATGTTCGGAACTTCGAGAATCTCGAAATTTAGTATATCCGTATATGTTTGACAGAACTGAAACTATTTACCTGTAGGTTCTAATAAAAGAAGATATGCTTATTGAACGCGATACTTACAGTTAAGTTCGTCTGTATCGTCACCTGGGCCACAATTTGGTAGGCCGTTACAAACAAGCTTGGCGGAAATGCATCGCCCATTGGCGTAACGCAGGCCCCCTGCAGATCCCGTTTTTGCGTTTGCCGTACCACTACCTGAGGTGGTCGGCACCTTTGGCGCCGCGCACGTCTCATCGTCGTCCCTGATCTGAGACACAAAGAAACAAGACAGGATTACTATCTAGAATAATATCATTATGAATGAATCGGGGCTATCGAAAACACAGAAGTATGACTCCATAACGAATTAAACGTTTTGAATTTTACGTCGGTCCCGTACTTGAGTCGTTAGACATCGCCTCAGATCGCTTACTGCCAACACAAAACGAGGTGTATCTATGTTCGTATTCGAACCTCTACCACTACGTGACCCTAACTTTAGTAGGCAAACAGGTTACCATTGCAGTATCACGAGGACATCATGTCGTAATGTTATAATTGAAAAAAATTGTATAGTCTTAAAAATGGCGTGCAATGTTACATAGTAATGCAAATTCTAGATTTCAAAGGTTTGAATACGCATCCGCATTGATGGTCGTCACCTACTTAATGATTAGAAGCTTTCCTCCTTCGGAGTCCAAAACGATATGCTTTCGAAGCTACCGAATAAATTACTACGATTTGCTACAGATAAATACACTCACATTTTTTTTTGGCCATTGGTCATACATACTTTGTGTATACAAGCCCTTCGAGTACAAGTATATGATAGCTTACCTCAGTCCATACGGCTTTAAAGCCTTGATTGCCAACAGCCTTAGCGGCAGTCATGAATTGCACCTGAAAGTTAGAAGCAGATTAACAATATAGAGAGCTTTGTGCAATACATCTATACAGTACTATTGTGGAACACTTCACCCCACGTATCATCGTTGAAAAGGCAAAGGCTTTATTTGGGAATTTCCATATGACTTCGACTTCTATTTGTTTTCCGAAAAAAAATCCTTAGGTAATTCCCGCCGCTTCTGCACACGAGTATGCCGCTTCAAATAGACACTTCGTAGTCTAGATGTACAAATAGCCTGATTGATTCTGAATCTCTAAAGCTCCAATAAGCCTTGCCTTTAACGACTAACTGAATCAAAAGTAAATTTGTATTCTGCCTTTGTATTGGGGCGTTCTATAGACAGTCGATCGGACGCCCCGTAATTAAATTGGTGCATTTTAGCGCTACTATAGAGTCAGTCGAGTAAAACATATAAAGATTTATATGCTCTTTCATGGCTTTGAACCAGCACAGAATATTAGTTAGATTGTGTGACAATTATTAACAGGTTTATTAATTTCATCATTCATAAATAAACTACGAAAACGCTACCAATAATAACGATAAGCATACGTGACGCTAGATGTGTACTTACTTTGAGCGAATTTCCGGTAGAGATGATCTCGCGGGTTTCATTAGTTAGCGTCTCCCCACAAAGTTCTACTGGAGGGCCCACACTGTCCGGATCTGGCCAGACTCGAACTACGGCTGATGGACATCCCCTGCAGAATTCAGAGTTCATAATGTACTCATAATGATAACAGGACATGAGCCTGGGAACAGGAAGCTAGTTGTGAACATTTTACGAGGTAACCCATATACAGTGACTGGGTTTTCTGCTATTCGGTTTGATACCATTCTTTATAATATTGCAATTAGTTGTACCGGTCAGTCGGTTCGCCCTCGACGTGGAAGAGCGTAAAATAGAAGTGGATGCGCCGTTTGGGTTTGACGGTTATCCAAAAGTTGCACAATTGGCGATCGTTTTTGTACGGTTCGGGGAAGCCCGGCGAAGTTACGACGCCACCCTCTAAACCACTTATGTTGCGTCCGCAATCGCCATATCGGTTTACGTTCTAATTGGACAGACACATAAAATAACGAACACACAATCATGAGTCGGCTAGTTACTAGATGAACTACATGAACCGCCGTACAGTGTCTTACATGCATCGTCTTACTGTAAAGTCGGCGTGTGTAGGTCACTTCGTCTGAAAATATCATAGGCTTACTAAATCTGCAGGCGTAACTTTGTCTAATAATTCCTGACCTTTAGGAAATAGTAATTGGCGTTAAAGCCCCCAGCGACGCCCGACTTGTCCGTATGCAGAACAACTCGCACTGTGTGATATCCAATATCTGTAACAATCGGTCCTGGGGCGGCACCCGAGCAATAGCGGCCATATTTCTTTTCCTGACCTGTTTTTTCATTTTGTTCATACAACTCCAACCAGTCTTCCTCGCAGCCGTCACTAAGGCATTAGATAAAAGAAAGTATTTAATTAGCTCGTTTAAGTTCTGTGAACTTTTTCCTAGCTAGTATTCCAGACTAGCCACTACACAATTGTGGGTTCGCTGAAATAACCATAGTTAAATACTTAAATCTGATAAGGTGGTCTGAAGACTTGATACCGAAGGCACCAGAAATTGCCTGTCCGTCAGGGAATTTTGGTAACAATCTAGACTTATAGATAAATGGCAGTGGCAAGCGGGTTGAGCGACAACGGTAATGGGCCGACGTTATTTTTTTCGATTAGTTGTGTACGTAATTATAGATTAAAGCAAACTAGCTAAACGTGCTGCTGCCTACCGAGAGCACGTCATTGGCTAAAGGTTTTACGGGGTGAATTAAAGCCACAGCAAGTAGGAGTCATATTCTCAAATGCCCATCATGTTGGCGTAGATGGAGATCAAAGGTGTACAAATCTACATTTATTAGCTGCTTTATAGATTATTACATTACGCCAAATCTACAAGCTTAGTAATAGCCTTGAGCCTATTACATATTTTTCTATTGGAAATCAATTCAAGTGACGAGTGCAAGCTGAATGATTTTTATGCCGTCAGCAAAGAGTACATTGGCCCTCGATTGGTACCTTAGTTAGTAAACGAAAATATTATTTGGCACAAATAAGATAATTTAGAGTATAATTTTATTTTTAGCACAGAAAAAAAATGACAATTGTCACTGGTTTAGATGTGTTCTCTATAATCTTTACAATTCTAGCAAAACGTGAAATAAGATAGTTAGCAAGAATTATGACGACCATTTTCTTTTTTTTTTTTTTGGTTAAATATTCAGTGGTCCTCAATATGAATATAGGCTAGATTTATTCATCAAGTGTTTGCTTATATGGCTGCATTAACGAGAAATGAAAAAACTTCCATTTATATATACTCACTTATATTGAGTTGTAGATGAATCTGAGCGGGTTTTGAAGTAGTTGAAGACGATCTTGACCTGTTCATCAGATCTACCGAGGAAATGGTACTCGCATGTCGTCATTGAAGGATAGTTGGCAGGGTAGCGTGGCGAGTTAAATTCACCAGTTTGTTGGCTTTCACTCACATAACTAAAGTAGCAGCCTTTATTCGGTGATGGTGTGCCTATATATTCATAATTGTGTAGGTACATTAATCTCTAGCACTTTTTGATATTTGGCTTATTATATCAGTAACCTAGAATGGAAGTAGAATGAAAAAATTAACCCTGAACACCTTACGGGACACCTACCGGGAATTTTGTAGTCGGTCTCGAATGTGTAGGTGGCTTTGAACCCCTGGCCCTGGGTATTGGCGCTGGAAAAAACCAGCATGAGTCGTGGGCCCTCGCTTCTCAGAGGCGGAGGAACCGTGTCCCCGCAGAACGCTTGGTCGAACGACTCCATTTCACCTCGCTCTTCCTGGCCCTATGAGAGATATCCCAAAATTTAATTGTATAAAGCTACTCTTGAAAGGGTCTTAGCGTCGTTAGCTTATACTAGTTAAAACTTTAATTAGGCTGAGGCTGACGAAGAGATTTTTAATTACACTCTTTTTATACTCGTTCTCGGTGCACGATATTCATTCCCGGTGCTTATTTCCAAGTACCCGCGTATTTAACTATGTGATAGATTTGTTGCTGTTATTATTACGGTTCAATAATCACATAATATAATATATTATTTCATGATATTTATAAAGTGGATATTTAGGAATAGCCAACGTACCTGCAAGTAAACCTTAAGAAAAGCGTCGCTGCATTCGGCATCGGAGGCGTTGATGTCGACCTTCTCAAAAGTCAGCCCGACGCGCTCGAGATGTTGAGCGTCTTCGAGTCCGTAGATAAAGTATTTGCAAACAACGCTCGCGGTGTACAGCAAGGGCCAGTTGGGAGAGTACACCGTCCCACTCGACTCCTTTCGCGACAGGATCTTCTGGTCACACTCTGCGTTCAGAACAAGTCGCAGATGATGACTCTGCATATGTAACCATTCTCTACAATGTAAGCGGACGATGAAACGCGCCATTTTCACATAATACTTTTCTCTACAGAAGTGTAAGGTCGTATGGTGTTATAACTTCAGCAAAATATCTCATTGGTAGTTTGTATCGTACTGTAAGTTGATATAGTTGATTCGAAGATTCTTTAGGTATGAATTCCTTCTCACTATGATAGTGCCTGCTGTCAGGTGAAGTTCAATTTATAACAGGTATATCGTTATGTATCGGTATATTTCAACGAATGCAGCTGTAAGACTGACATTATCGCCAAATGAGGGTGCGATTAGATGCTCGATCCAAATAGAGCTAAGTGCCTTTGACTTCGGACCATTAGTTATCGCGCATTCGTTCGTTCCTTTTCCAGTTGTGTGCTTTATGCAGTTCTGTCTGAATATAGAAAGTCAATACCTAAAGCACGGAGACACTACAGGTTCATTTATAGCGTCTGTTGAGTATCTTTTACATCAATGGCAAGGAACAGTCCATTTTGATCATCTAAACCTTGAAGACGCCTACACCAGGGCATAAGTCCTATCGTAATAGAGGAATGGTAGTCCAGGTTATGGCAGCCAACGACTAGTATAACCAGTGTGAAACGAAGGGCAGGGTTTAGTGAAATACCGGCCTGAGTAGTCGTCTAAGGTCGATTGAGTTAGGAAAAGAATGGTGCTGCTTTCTTACGTTGCTTGTTGATAAACGGCGATCACAACTTTAAGACGAGAGAACGAAGATGTCATTGGACATCGACCATGCTCTTATCTGCGAATCACAGTAGCTACGGTTTGTTTACGGGAGGAATTAGGGGAGCTGCCGACATGACCTCAAACACCTAACTAGCCCAGGTTATATTGAAAACAGAAACATAAGAACCTGTACGTATAAAACATAGGGGTTCACGTATTAATGGCATGTGTCTTAGAATAAGACTTCTCAAGTAATTGGTGTCTAAAAATAGGAGAAAAAAATAGAAAAAAGAAAGTTATACAATGCCGATTGAAATTCACATTGGGCTTAAGGCGTATGTTGACTGAGATTGTTGAAGTGACAAGATTTTAATCATTACATAATACACGATACGATAGTAAAGATCGAAGTACACATATGAACTTAATGGGGCAAGATTAGAATGCGTTGGCGCGTACCGGTTCCTCGTATATGTTCGCCGTCCTCACTGATGAAATCTGTAATAAAGACAAAAAAAATTAACTTCACTATTAGCCTCATTGTTTTTTACATCTATTACATACGATAAGTATATCATGAGCACTGATAGAGTGGTGCCGTTATTACTTGTTGCTGCACCCAAGCTGCAGTGGCTTGCCATTCTCCAAATAGGCAGAACGAAGCAGGTGATAAACGCCAGATTCTCCTGTGTATTACCTACTAATATGGTAAGATTGAATGTTGTTAAAAATTCAAGAGAGTGTATGTACATATTTTAGGAAATTATTATATGGAAGAATGCAGCTCATTCGACTGAGGTGTGAAATTTACAAACAGTTATGGCTAATATCTCCTATCATGAAAAAAAAAAACTATCCTGGAAGAGCATTGGAAAAACAGATTCCTAAATTGCAGGCTGAAAGCCTGCAATTTAGGAATGAAAAAATAGGGCAACCTTCTTCTTTTCGATACGATGATAACTGTTTAATTTCGCTTTTTTCAGTTCATCAACAATCGTCTAGAAGTGCTTTTACCGACAGATTGCTTATGGCGTTACTAGAGGAGTAGTGATAGGTATGAAGTACACGTCAATTTCTCCAATGCGTAGGAGTGTTCGGTAAAGAACATTCAAACACAATGCAAATATTAAGGCTCTACGAGAGTTTTGAGACAATCGGTTCTTCTAATAATAGTCGGTTATTGATGCGAGCCATATACTGCTGAAAAGCGACACGTAAGACACGGATCGTCTTAGTGCTAAGATACTATTTTATTCCAGATTTTTTTTTAAACGACCTTTTGTATCTGTTTCTATCAAATGCTAGAACAGAATTTATGTACATTTCTCTTAGGCACAGAAATAGGGCACTTCGTTTTTCATAGAATAAAAAAATTCAAATCTGTTTGATTTAAGCTTTGAAAGGAAGTAGGTAAACGAATAGGGTGATATAGTTATTCCAATTCTATTGATGCTGCTTTATAAATAGGATGCAAAGCCTTTCTAAATTTTTGTTCCAGCCGCTTGGTGGTAGTATGCGTGATATCCAGCTAACAAGTACTTGAATAGTACATCGAGGCCTTTGGATGATGAACACCAATAACATGTCAGACAGATTAAACCAAGCCCACTAAACCTGAGGTTGCTTTTATTCGCTGCTTATAATCAACCCAAACTAGGTACCCCTTTGTTTGGTATGTTCAATAAATTAGCAACTTTGGGCGGGATACTTTGCTATAGAGTGGACATCGTGCTTGCCACATCACTCCTCTGTTGTTTTCAGACCGCAGCAGAAATGCAAGAGCGAGTAAGGGAATTTTTTTGCCGACATACTTACTTTTGAATGCGAATATTTAATAGAATTTTATTACCCGAACACAATGGAGACAAGGCCTATTTTTTTTTTTTTAACTAACTTAGCTCATACTAGACGCCCGATACAATCGGGCACGTATTTTTGAGTGAACTAAACTTAAGTTAAATTAAGGAGCCGATTTGCGCATTCTACAACGTTGTCATGCGGAGAAAAGGAAGGTCCACATTCTTCATAACAGGTAGAACTAACCTAACTTGGCGAACTTTTCGGAAAACTCGAACCAGCCCGCGAAGCCCCTGTTCTGCGAGTCCGCCTGCCGGCGAAGAGTACGGAAGCGGACGAATAGGGCCTCCGCGGATGAGTACACTTCCAGGGATCGCTGCTGGCCGCAGTAGGTACCTTTACAGATAACAGATCAGATACATTATCGCGGTGAACCAGTCTGCAAAAAACAACTAAACGCGCACTATTTGCACGAAGTTCCACTTCTCCCCCCGGGTATAGAACTCCTCTAATTCCTACCGATTATAGACTATAGACTACCGACGATAGAATTGACAATAAATGAAAAGAAGAAGGCTACAACAAATCAGATATGCGTCTATAGCAAGGACTGACATTTATGGAATTGAAAGCTTTAATGGCTTATTAATTTATGCAAACAGTTGTTGTGTAGGAGTCGCCTGCAGGGTTGAATAAACGGTTAGTACTATCAGGCAAGGCGATCAAATGAGCTGGGATTGCCGTCTGTGATGCGTAATTAGGCCTCGTCGTATTTCTCATCTCGTTTAATGTTGGGCTCCCTGTAAAAGTGCAATCGACCATATCTCGTCACGTGTTTAAGAACAAGATAAAAGCGTTTACAAAAACTCTATCCCTTTACTTAAGTCCGTATTCCGATCCAAATCAACGGTTACCAGTCGCTGTTATATAAGGACGCAGCCTGAGACGCTTGCCCTGTTAATCACTACGCTACTTCACCATTGGAGGTTACCAAAGTCAAGCATGCAGCTAGAACTGTGACTGGCAAACCATCAATGTTGCCATCGACGATAACCTTAAAGCAGCACAGCAGTGATCAACCAAGAACATTATTTATAAATTTGAGGAGTAAGCGGACCGCCTGCTGTAGACCAGTGACGTTATGTAGGGCATGAATATTGAAACGCCTGATGAATGCCGCGTCTTCTGCACTTACCAATCAATGGACTGTTTTCGTCGTCAGGACCATCGTATACTTTTACCTGAAATTTGGTGCAGACATTCGCATTACTATGCTTCTATTATGTGAAGACGCGTCCTCAGCACACACAAAGATTACTCGGTAAAATAGCTCACTCACACAGAGCTTCCTGGGATGAAGCTCGCCAAGGACGCGACTAAATAATAGTTCGAGCTTTATATCTAATATAACCGTTAACCAGTGCTCCTGAAGACAGAATTGGCACAGAGATTTATAATCATTTCGATAATTTGTCAGCTTTTTTTTTTCGGAACTGTGACACCCTTTACTTGTTTTCACTAAGCGATTTTTGATGTTCATTATCCATCAATAGCATGGATCGGTTTAGCAGAAACGCGTCTGTTGTCGTTGGGGGCACTCTGTAATGACATTGTGCGCATTTCTTCTGATCTGCATTTTATGGAAGAAGCTAGACAGTTCTAAGGAGACCATCTCTAAACGACAGATAGCCACTCAAAACCGATGGGCTCTAATACTCAGTACTATAGATTGCGGAAGCCATGTCCTGTTTAATTATATTACGATACACATACCGCACGCTAGACATTTGCATTACGACTTCATTATGTCCGACGCTGTTACGGCCTGCATATTGTCTATCTTTTAGAGTAACTGTCTTGTCATCTGTTGTGACAGATGAGTCAATATAGTAATATACCGAATTCACTTCACACGATGGAATAGCGAAAAAAGCAGAAAGGTACTAAAAAAAACACTGTTTTCATTATGAGTTTACACCTTCTGGCATTCGTTCTTTAGGAAGAAAGGTCTAGCAGATTGGAATAAGGCTTATTATTGTTGTAGAGGATATCTGATTGGGATGTTATGACTTCCTAGCCAAACGATGACGCAAACGTAGAGAAAATGCATGGCATTGCACCGAGCAGTTGATCTACAAAACAAGTTCCAATTAAGGTAGTCCGCCAGAAGAATTTAGAAGCAATTAAGGAAAAATGGCAGAGGCGAGCCATCGGCTTTCGTCTATCACAAACCATACCCGTATCATGGCGTATACCCTGCGTGTAAAGTAGGATATACGTTAAACGATCTCCTCTTACTGGAAAATATCGTCGTGGTATTTGTGCTGTAGAATTTATGAACCAAAAATTAAACTGTTAATTAGTAAAGTTCGCCTTATTTTAAAAAGACATATTTTGTGTTGTCTTATGCCTGATATATTTCTTTGTCTGCAACTGTCGGATCCCCTTTGAGACTATAATAGTTTAAGCTTAGCTTTTTGTTGTCCGCGTATAGAAGAGAAAGCAACGGGAATCAGGTTTCATTCATCGAGGGGTTCATTATTTTGCAACGAAAGAAGATTAAGGATAGAAAGCTCTGTGTCCTTATCTCCTAAGAGACTGTTTACTAATTTTTTTTAGCCAGCATTCACCTTCCTCCTTAACCATGTAATGACACTGGTCGAATTGATTATCTTGCATCCCTGTCAGCCTAAGAAGAAGCTAATAAAAAAATCCTATTCCCAGCACGTCGACAGCAGAGCTGGTTCACTCTGCGCCCCCTATACGTTTAACGACCCAGCTAGTGCATCCAGCGGTTTTTAATATCAAATTGGGCTTCAGGCCTCCAACCTACCGCGGTCGGATTAGCTTGCAACCCCTCTCCTTTTTTTGCTCCTGTAACAGCACTCGAACTGTCAGATTTCGTCCTCAGAGCTACTTACAGCTTGGCTTCATTCGAGCTCTCGTAACTCCTGGAATTTGAGGCACCATTTTTCATTTATTGGCACAGAGTCAATTCTAGTAGGAGACCAAAAAGGTAGAAAACAAATTTCGTTGGCCATTTGTTCTTTCGTTTATTTTCACTGCAGAGCCATTCTCCCGAACTACCTTCTGCTCAATATGAGCGCTATCGACAACTAGTAGCGGTAGCATAAAAAACAAAAAGCCCATACCAGCAAAGTTTAACAAAGAAAATTGAATTAAAGACAATTTAACTTATCAGAACCAAATACACTATAAATTCAATTGAATCCCAATGGACTTAATCAAGGAAGATAAAACTTACATGGATAAGGTTTAAAACCACCTAACTTTATCATGTAGAACGTTCACTGTTTAACTTGCAAATACTCGCAACATTACGTGAGGCGATATTAACTACGATTTTAATTGTATTGTATCACATGGCTACTTGCCACACCTGTTTATCGGTGCAACCCCCACGATACACTCAACGGTACCGGGGCTATAAGCCCCACGATTAGAGTGGAAATTCTATTCCATTGGGAACCACCGACGCCTGTGTAAACGCACTAACGTCATCGGCTTTATTGTTAGGCGGCTGTCGTAGTAGCAATTGAAAAAGCATTTGTCCAATGCCCTTTGCATTGTCCCCCTTTTCCACACACCCTATACTTTCTTCATTCGCTTTCTCCCAATTTGAACGCCCTAAGTACCGTAGCTGATTTAAAATATTCGTCTCTTCTTTCAACAGTTACCGCCACTGCTAGCTTACAGCAAAATTAGAAGCACCGCCTTGAATGGAGAATAGCTTTGTTTTCAGTGGCTAGAGGTAATGACTGAAGTCGCAATGAGGCTGCTGAAGAAAGTAGCGGAATTGATTGGCTTGGGGAGCGTGCCAGCAGGAAAGATCTCTTGGTAAGCAAGTGTAATTCACAACCATCCTTGAGCATGAAAGGTTTCTCAGTTGTCTAGGGCGCGTCCTTTCCTATCCCTGACGCCCGTCGTCCGACCAACGTAATTAGAGAAGTTCACTCAAAGCATCGATGGCGCATGACGTACTTTCCTATCACTGTCCTTGTCGCCATATAGACAAGCTCGGTGCGGTGTCCGAAGACGACAACCGACTTTAGTGTTCATTATAAAAAAAGATCTATATTAAAGGAACTAGTTTGCATCGATCATGCATTGTTATATAACCGCGAAATGGAAATTGCCCGTTTATACCTTCAAATAAATCGCTCTAGTAAAGGAAGCGTCCTGTTGTCGAACAGCAAAATGGAATTGGGTGTTGCAATGACCTATTGAGTGCTCGTGTCTATCGCCTATCATTTATGCGTAAAGCGGGCATGCTACCGATACAAACGTGATGATAGCGAGGCGTGGCAAGCAGTGCGTATGCCATAGGAGCATACTTATTGAACAACTATAAGTTTTAAGAGAAAGATTTGATCCTGTCGTACTCCATGGAAATCAGCGCCGATTGAAACAGAGGCGAAAAAGACAAAATATTATAATACTATTCGATATTCCACAGGTAAACATATTTGTACGGGTGTTACCACTTTGTTCTTTTGCCATTTACAACATGAAATAACAGCGACACCCACCCCGTTCATGTCCGGTCTTTTGCAACAAGCACAATGATGTATTGGACGTCAATAAAGCTTAGATTTATATCAGAGACCAAACTCAACCTAGATAGCTGCTTACATTATTTCGGTCATATTTGAGTATTCATGTTATTTTGTCCTCCTCGTCGTTGCGCTGTTTTCTAGATACGCTTGCAGCAGCTCCATTCGTCCTGAACCTGGCGCACGGACGCGACCATTTTCAAAGGACTGACACTATCGTTGAACAGAACACGTACGTTTTTGTCAGGGGTTCGCATACGCTTTACCCAACTGGCATGCGGCAATTGTCAATTCCCATTTTCCGGAATTGGGAAGAACGTCTGTTCATCCATCAGCATGACGAAAACATCGACAGTCCCCTTCTATTATAATTCAATTTAACTCAGGAGATATTTTTACTAGCATGTAACCTTGAGCTGCTGAGCCTGCATTGATAAATACTCGTTTAGGTAGCACACATACAGTAATCAGCCTAACTTCATGAGAACTAAACAAGAACGACCTGCAGTAGTGACGACAAAAACACCATGGTTTATAAGCTAGCCTGCTCCTAGGATATATCTCCTATAAACGAAAATCCTTTACGCTTGCGGCGCTTACTAGGAGTCGAAGACACTGAAAGATTTCGAGATGAGACGTCGTTTAGTTACGTTAACATTTTTTCACATACCTCGCGCCGTTTCAGTCAGTAGGTAATTATGAAACAGGTAAAAAATACCGCACTGTAGCATAATGGCGGCAGAATATCAATATTCGCCGTATAATAACGTCACCGCTACAAAAAGAGCATCTGCCTATATTTGGCTAGCCGTAGCATGAAGACGCCATTAGGCCATCTGAAAGCCGTAACGAGCCTTGCCAAAGAAGGACACTGCCGTTAGTTGCCCTCACAGTGACGTATTGTTATGTCGCTGTAGTGCACGCGCACCTGACGGCTACCTATGGATCTACTTGAAACAAGCAATGAATTGCACGGAGTGCCCACTCGTACGGTAGGAAGAGAAGTCATTCGCAAGAGATGTACGTAATGAAAATCGATGGGCAACGCCGTAACTGTATGAGTCAATGGACCGTTTAGTCTTTCGGATCTATTATGCATGCGCATGATATCAAGTTATGAGGCCTAGCCCTTTCAACTCGCACAAGAGCTCTATCTACAGCGAAAGCTGGCAGATACGAATGTCGCCGTAAATCACGAAACCGGACCTTGGTAGGTTATTATGTTTCCATTGTATTTTTGAAAAATCCTCTTTCAATCGATAGGAATCGTACATAGTACTGTTTTCCTATTAGCTGTCATTAAAGTCCTATGGCGATATTATGCTTGTTACACTTAGATTAACTTTTCTATTTACACAAATTGTGTATAACTTATGTGTCTGTTGTTGAAATCAGGGATCAGAGCTCCGAAGCATGGAGTCGATTATTATATTGAGCTGACAGTTCGAAATTGAAAACTAAATAACATCGAGTCATTGCTCACGAATACGCTACATTATGAGACATCAACGACCGCTGAATGCTATACAAACGTGATCTACGCTGTCAGAAGACGCAAATCGTAAAAACTGCATGCTCGTAGCAAATCGTTCCCACTTGGCCGCACGCCCTAGAGAATCTATAGCTCCAGAAGACCCCATATCGCCTGATCTCAGCAAAACTTCGATCTAAAAAATAGGCCAAAGCTTACAGCGCAACAAAGACGAATTTGCATTATTGCCAATTTCCCATTCAACTAGACCGGACAGATAGAAAGTAGCTCTGCTAAAACCGGCAATCTTTACCTTTAGTGTGTATGGCTCCAACTTCAACTGAGCATTTCCTTTCTCTCTATGTGATCGACCATTGCATCCGCGATTTTAACGTGGAACTAGAGCAGTATCTTTTCTTGGGACAAAATGGGCGATCCTTGTCCCTCTTTGGTGGAGAAATTAACAGTGTAATATAGCGATATTGTAAGCAACATTCGTGACGCAGTAGAATTTCCTTAGAATAAACACATGCTTGCACGGCGTTAGAAACATTGGCGTCCTATTGCTATTTTACTGGTTACAGCATTGTACATACTCAATAATGGTCCTCGATTTGTAACACTTTCATAGTAGATTTTACTCCATATGAGTGAGGTAGGAAAACAGAACCCTTTTTAAAGCGATGACAAGCAAGTCTGTCGGGTTACAGATATACCGAGGCTAGAACCAACAAACATAGAAGAAAAATTATGTATGATGTATCGTAAACAAGAAGCCGACTCCGGTGCCTATAATATTTCGATACTCTGTCCTACAGCGCGACTATTGTTTCGAGCCATAAGATGGATAGGTCTGCTTTATTGGACATATATTTTTCAGTGAACTAAGCTTTCGTTAGTGCGGCTACGCATCTGGGCGCAGCATATATTGAGCAGTTGTGCGTTCTAATCGAGGAGCGTTCGCTTCCCACGCACATGGGCATTTTTAGCGACTCAGAGAAAACAGTCGCTTTCCGTTCCATTCGAGAGCTTCTATAGCTCTCGTGCTTTCCTTTCCTTTTCCCATGAGTGCGTGAGCCTTTAACAAAAAAATAGGGTATCAACTATTGTACCAAGCTTGTACATAGTCGACGCTGCTAGTGACATCTGTATTTTCCACGAACACGTAAACGAGGCAGACGAGTGAATACTCGACGCGACACAAAAGCCATCATACGATACCAAAGGCGCAATGAAGCCGGCAGCCAGTTGATGATATTTAAGAGACAATTATGAATATGTGATACTCCGCGTCTTCATAGAAACTTTGGAATGGCAATCGTATCATTGAATTGGTCAGGTCACTATGTTACATGAAACAACCGAAACGTTCCCTATAGGCATCGTCTGCACCCTAGACATTCGAACTGCGCAATGCTACGTGACAATATGCGAAACACATATTTTTCGACTCAGTGGGTATGGACGATAGTACCGGTGCAAACACCAACGTACAGAAATGTCTTTAATTTACGTAGAGTTCATGTGTAGCTTACAATTAAACCTCGTACTGGCATTGGATGAAGCGCTCGTAACCTCGTTTGTGCTTACCGATCAGAAGTACGCTGGGACGCAATACGCCGCCTAGCTTGCTATGGATCCTGCCCGCCGAGAGAGTCAATTATGATTTTAGGTAGCTGTTACCAGCGTTGGTAATACTGCTGATTAGGTATTCATTCACTTTTAGAATTCAAAGTTTTAGATTTCTTCCAGAGTAGTTATTATATTTTGTTTTTATGGTTGATATTATAGAATATACAAACCGATAGCAGAATAATGCACTCAGCTTTTATTTGAGAACTCGGATAAACGTTGTCGCTTTTCACAAAATTTGAAGCTTTTGGCGTGTCCCCAAGCTAGAAATTCTAACTCTAGAGAGTACTAACCGTATCGAAGGGGCAATGTGTGCCCCCAAAGGACAGGTCGAAGTCCATAAACTCCAAACGAATCCGTTGGCCCTTTGTACCGATGAATCTGAAATAGGGTCACGCGTATACAATCACTGGAAATTCAACAATTGGTACAAAAAACAATCTTCTCTAGCCAGACTTCCATCTTTCCGAGTTTTTGGGACCTTCGACCAAGAGTTAGTTCTCAATATTTTAATACAAGAAACACTTAGGATGAAGCTTCTAACGCATATTAGTACGATTGTACCGTTAGTTTTCCATGACTGCAAATGTATGCTAAGTAAATGTTCAAAAAAAGCAAACGAAGCTACATTGCTAGTTGCAGTATAGCATACCCTTAAGTCATCTACATCGACACACAACTGTTTCCTTTCATGGGGTTACACTTACCTGTATTGACAGTCGAGATTTTTGGGGTACACCCCGGGATAAGTAGGCGAATAAAAGTCGCCCTCGCGCCTTTGCGTTCCATAGATATTAAACGAGCAAATCGCCGATGGCGATGTCGGGGTGCCCACAATAAAACGAGCTGTAAGAAACAAAAAACAAAACAGATTGTGTTCGCATTGAACGATTGCTGACTTCTCGTACGTTTCATTCAGCTTCTTCATACAATGCACCAACTAACTCGAGCAATCGGTGTCGCGTTATTTAGATTTTTCTGTGAAATATCACAGTTATAATTTCTTGAACCCGGCCAACCATTCCTAGTAATATCTATATACATCTTGATCCTCATAATTTAAAGTCCCCAACAACAATTTTGATCAAAGGTTAGCGTTAGTCAATTTAGTTGACGGACTTGTGAAACAGCCCAGGAGAATGAGCCCGAAATGGCAAGAGGGCAACACAAGCTCCGGAAGAAAGTTTCGAAAAGGTCTCTACTAGAAAAAGTTTCTATCGAGATGTCTGTCCGGAGGTTTCGTTCGGTCTACGGTGATTGGAGCCCTCCGGACCGTAACTTTGCATGTTGCCGCTACACATGACACACTTTGGTGGAAAAATGCCGACCCTTACAGTTATTTTCATGGCCGAAATAAACTTTTTTTCATTAGAGTTAGAGTATAATGCTTTGCCCCTATCGATCGCTGCGTAAAAGCTTATATCCGGAGAAACGATTTATTTATCAAGAAGACGTCGATGAAAGCGAGTTGTCACAAACGTCTGGGATTTGTGCTTACACGGAACACACAGTACAGTTGTAAAAGCAAAAATTATGCAGATTTTACCTATTACACAGCGGTTGTACTTTCGTTGAGGGACCAAATGCGTGAACGTTCGCTATTCGTGGTAACTAGCTCCATTCATCGTAGCATTTAAAGGCCATCTTTTTTTTCGTTAAAGCTCAACATTAAAAAAAGAATCGAGTTTGTGCCCACTTGTTTTAACGGCGTTTTCTACTGATGCGCGAGCATTCATTCGTTCGTTGACACAGATTGACCTACAGGGCAGGGCCTTGGTCAGATCGCTACCACTGTCGCCGCAGGATCGGATCACTAAATAGAACGTTAACTCTGCAAACTGGCACACAATTCTTTAAGCTTGTTTCGAGCTAAGATCTTTTCAACTTGAAGCTCCAAGTAGCGCTCGGCTCGGCTTGACCGGCTCTTTACCCCCTTCCCCCGCGCCTTTCCGACAGGGCTGGTGTAGGTTTCGGGAGGGATCGCCTCAGTAACACGCGAATAGACGTACGAAAAGCCACTATGAAACAAGCGCTGTTGAGGACATAAACACAAACAACGATTAAGAAGCTCTCTGTCTATAAAGTACAAAGTACTGGTTTCTCAAAGACCGGATTGTCGGCCTAGTTAACTGGATAAGAAACTACGCTACTGGATAGGAAACTAGATACCGAACGTCCGCGGCTGCATGCAGTTCGCGGTTAACAATGATGAAGCGTTTCGAGGCATGCACACAGGTAGGCTTCGGAAGAGTACGTTTTACACAGCAATTGATAGTTGCCGTTGTAAACAAGATGTACGTCATGGTCACGTTTCGAGGCGTCGCTTCAAAAGGAAATAATGGACACAGCACAAACTGCAGGAATTGGCAGATTGTATATGACAGTAAAATGGCCGAGTGCGTCAACTCTTACATAAACGACCTATCAAAATAGGCCTAGTAACGTCAGCATCAAGGGGATAGGAATTATTGTTAATTTAGCTTTTGCAGTGGTTTCCACTCGATGTTCCGAGGCCATCTTTTGGTCCTAAAAAATAAGCTAATTTTATCCCAATTAATCTTACGTTCATATTAAAGTTTTACCGTTCTACGAGCTCGCTGTCGAATGATTCACTACAGTAACGCTAAATAAGTGTTGCAATAAGGAAAAAAATAAGACGAATATTGATAAGCTCTAGGATAATCAATAGAAATAATCCGGGCCTATAAACAGAACCGCAGTGATCTCTGTGCCATTTAGACAGGCATGCCAAAAGATTGCTGGGAATATTTATTTTTTGCAAAAACTAATCTGAGCTAGTTTTGTTACCAATCGCTAACAGCTTTGATCTGACTTTGTCACCATGAGGCATTCATTATACAAGCAGCCTCCTACATTGTCAACGGTGTGATTGGAAGCAAAACGAAAAATTTCTGCTAAGTGTTAGCTAGCCACTAATATAAGGTACTCGATACGCTCGTCCCACGTGATACAAATAACAACAAATTGTACATCTCTGAGTACGTGGTACGTATAGTGAATAGAGCCATTCTATCAGTGCTAGAACGAATTCTGCTTTGTGAACGGACCGTTTAAGAATTCCCTGTATTAAATACTTGTTAAACCTGTCATCTGATATTTACGTCAGCTCATACTTATAGAATTGTAACGCGTTGATAAATATACTTTCTATTTTAATCCATGACTTCTTACTTCATGATTCGGTCGGATCCTTTTTGTCAGTCACTGCATATTAAAAGCAGTTGGATCGACAAATCGTGCGGATGGCACGGTGCGTGGTCCCGCAATGACAAATAGCAATATCTGCTGAAGGGCTGATAGATTCGAATCTGTAAATTAAATGTTATGGATTAATCCGGAGCTCTTTGGTTTAAGAGAAAAGTTCCTAAGGTTCCAACGCCCTGATTATCTAATAAAAGGCTTTTGCTGGATCACATCGTTGAATCAGTGCGTCGTCCATCGGATTCGCCGTCCACAAAACAGAGTGTATGCCCATCTGAATACACCAATCATTATGTCGAAGACAGCTAGAACACGTCCTTAACGAGGGCATCGCCTTCTTTACCGCCTCTTATCTGTAGCAAGAGAAAAATCTATATTAAGCCAGCTAGCAACTCGAGGTTCAGGTAGACGCTATCTAGCAGTCGACGATGCCAACGTAAGTCTGCACCGCTCAGCATCCAAATCACTGGCTTATGACTCAATATTGATGGCTTTTGCTATGAATAAAGCGACCTAGACAATGTCGCTGGTATGAAATGTTTCCCGGTGGGTGATTGTCGATTCTGATTGCTATTGAAGAGATATGCATCTGTACTCCATTGTTTTTGTTTACTTCGGAAGACGTCATTTCTCAACGGTTTTCCAATTAATTTCACATAGAAAAGGTTCATACTGATAAAGATTTACGTCCTTTCAGCTATAAACCCGATATCTTTAAACGCGTTATGTCTCGTTAAGCGTAGAATTTTTTTTTTGTTCAACATGAAGCGTTTATGTAGCAAACGTCGAAATGCAGAACCTTAACCGTCATCTTAGGCTAGCTGTTCTATCTCTATCTATGATTGGTTAATGGGTTGTTCCGGTTTCCACAAATCAGTCCACCCGACTGTGCAGCGTCTGTGGCTAAAACGGATTGCAAAACGTTTACTTTCTCAAAGCTTCTCAGCTAATACGCCTTAAATGCTGTAGCTCAGATATCGAATTATCCCCTTTTGTTGCAACTGTCTAGTTCGATCTGTATCTCATTCGTATATGTATGCATGTAACGGTGCTAGCAATGAGGATCCTTAGCTAAGAGATGCACACGCTGTGAGCTGACCTAAACCGCAAAAGCTTTGTAAACCTAGAAGTGAGGCTAGGTGTGGAAAACAACGAACAAACTACTAGCATACGGTAAAAAAAGGTAAGCTTGTGCGCCTTATACAAATATGACACGGGTGGGTCTGCGTATACAGGTGAGCTTTTTTACAGGCTCCTGCACGGTCTGGGGAAGTGGCAGTACCTGCGACAACGACGAATCAATGACGAAGCTTCGTCATCTGCTGTCCTAATGGTCTAAGAAGGGAACGGAACACTTCTTCGCCAGACCGTTTTTCTTTCTACCCGCTTGCCAGCGCAATGCCTCTGTTAGCACGAATATAAGCCGTCGCTTGAGCCTCGGTGGCTGACGTTCTATTGTAGCGACATTTTTTATACAAATGGGACTAGTGGGACACGATCTAATCGGGGAAGGAAGCAAAGATTCATCGTACGACTGAAGTGAACGCCCGTGAGAAAAACACGACGACAACGACGAGAGCGAGCACCAACATTAGGAGTGACAATCCAGCGAGAACAACGATAAACGGGAATAGAGGGGCTTCCATCTCCTTAGTCATTGCTTGTCTCCTGTAAAAAGGTATATACATATACTACGTCCTGTAAAATGAAAGTAAAAATGGATTCCTTAAGGAGCGCCGGCCTCAGAACCTTCTTGCTCGCATTTCTATCCAGCTTGATTTCGGTCATTCTAATGTATAGGCTATCGCCGGGTGTTTACCTTGAAGTCATGATCGGTCAGGTTGAAAATCCGGTGCAACACTGGACTGCCATGTCGCGAGCTTGGGCAGCTAATTGCAAGCCGGTCAGTCGCAAGATGAGATGATAAGAGTAATAATGGGAGCAGTCGCCTGGTAGTTTCGTTAGAGAAAGAGCAAAAAAGAAAGCGTAGTCTGAAAGGGATTTTGCGTAAAACAGGAGCGCAGAAACAAACAATGGAGATTCAGACGGCTTAAACATGGCTTTGTGCAACGATGCCCTGGTCCACTCCCTTCTTTTCGTCTCTGCCTTGGCATTTACCGCTCGTCTGCGGGGACTCTACAATGGCTGTTGTTACGTTTCCCAATTACTTAATTTTTCCTCATTGTTTACATCCGTCGCACTAAACCGTGGGAATAAAGGCAATAAATATAATAAATAAAGAAGGAATGACTAGGAGAAGTCAGGCAGGTCACCAAGCTACCTGTGCTTGGTGAGCTGCCTGACTTTTCAATGTGTCGCTATTACATATATCCGTAGTAAACACGATACTGTGGTCTTTATTTTTTTAAAAAGTATGCTTCGATCGCGACTGCAGTTAGTATAGGCTGTACGTATGCCTTTTGTCAGTCGCGGCGAAAACTTGAATTCTGTTTAAATAGAAGAATAAAATGAACAGATTGAGCTAAATGATCAAATTATAGTTTAACGGATATTGAGCCTTCGAATGGAATAGCAACTTTTAAGCGTGTAATGTTCGCTATTCCTGTACCTTTTAGGTAACTAGGATCTCGAAAAAAACCGTCAAAGCTTATTTGCTTTAATTTTCTAAACAATGGAAAAAAAAACCGCTTGCCCCGAGTAAGCCATAGATACGTGCTCGTACAGGAAATTTCATTCTAGTAGATTCTATTATCACAGTGAGCCTTGGACGGAGGTTCCATCTAATATTTTCGCTAATTTTTCGCAACAAGGGATTAAGAGATCGTCTCAGCAGTTCGGCTTGTTTCGCTAATCCTAATATTTACCTCGAAATCCTTTCAAACTTGCTTATTCGTTGCTATAAAAAAGCCCATTTGACAATATCGACACTGCGAGATACACGAAGCGCAAGATATCCAGATCTACTAAGGAAACTGCCATTTTACCGTTAAGGTCTTTGACCCAATGCTTTGTCGAGTTGCATGAAATCTGGCATTAGGAAGTTCGTTTTTTTTTTTGTGGACCGATATTCCCACTGATAGTAAAGTGCACTACATAGGTTTTTGCTTCGCGATTATAAGATTAATATTGCCAGTCCATTTAGGATATTTTTTTTTGTTGATTTCTTGACTAAACGAAACCTGTGGAGAGCCAAATCTAAAAAGAAGAAATAGCGTCTTTTTGATATTCATACAGCTTCTCTTGTATGCTCCTTATAATGTCTCTTTAGGCTGATCTTTAGGTTTAATGACGGTAAATTTTGCAGGAATTTCCCGGTAGGATGCCCGTATGTGGCTCAAATCTCTTTTCAACCGGTCGTTGGCATACCTATCCACGGGGTTCTCATCTAGTTAGGCTTCTACTAAATATTGATATACCTCACTGAACCAAGATACCCCGATCTTTTCTTCAGCCATATCTACAGGACTGCAACTATATCTATCTTAAATTACCAATTCTACCTTAAACATGCTATTTTAGCTAAATTTATTTGTGTTCTAAATTCTAAAGAAACATCTAATAGTCCAGAATTATTCTAATATTTTAAAGCTACACTTCTCTAAATTCATATTTTCACTGCGTAACTAATTTTGCTTAGGAGCGATGCAGTGGACTTCATCAAAAATATGTGTCAGTAATAATCGATTTTAATTATACTTTTGAAAAATAACCAAGAATTTTAGTTTTTTTTTTTTACCAGGCTCAAAGTCAAAAACTCGTCAATATCAAAACGCCATTCGATTAGGATTTAATATTATATATAGAATAATTTTGTGTAGACGCGACGCGCCAAGCATGAAATATGCCAATGTTTACTTCTTTTCAAAATCCATGTCACCTTAACTGAATTGAAAGTCAATTGATACTAGCTGGAACGCTATTATCAAAGTAAACTAGCTTCTATGAAGTAAAATGCCCCAGGGCATTTTCAGCGGTTCATACAACATTGTCTTGCATACAGCTAGGGTGACACTCGGATACCAACCCTTAATGAACACTATGCCTGTTTATCAGAAGCTGTATCAGAAACTGATCCATGTAATGAAGCAAGGCATAACTTAGTGCATCTATAGAAGCTTACGATTTTTCATTGAGATATAAAAACAATTTGGCCTCGGGGCTCTGTTCTGAAATATTCCTTGAAGCCATGTGTTTAGCGTAAGAGATTAAGGTTCACGAATGAGTTTGTGTAGAGATACCTCTTTAGAGCTCGAGCAGAATACGTGAATCTAAAGATACCTGCGTGAAGGGCAATTGGAGACAATGCTGGTGAGATATTGAACGTTTTAAGGTAATTTTAAAACAATATTACTATGTACGGGCTACTTTGACTGACGACCTTCTGCAATTTTTCTGCTAACTCCACAGTCCCATCATTGTAGAACTATGGTTTATCAAATATGTTCTTGTAATCTTGTTAACTGTTAGTTTGGAAAATTCGGATCAACAGTTCTGCCAGGCGGCAGCGACATAATCTGCAATCCCTTCAAATGATATATCCAAATAATAGCAATAATCCTAATATCCGAATATATAGCATTACTTTTTTTTGGCGTCTACTATAACAACAAGTGCCTTTTGCGTCAAAATATCCAAAACGAAAGCGACAAGGCCACACTTGGCCCGTTTTTCCCGATTACACACCCTGGCCATAAATGAAACACTTTTTTTTTATAGACCTAGATGGTATATGTACATATATCAATTCCGTCAATCAAAATCCTGTCTCTTCTTTTTAATTACATGTTTTTTTAACAGAACTTGCTTTTGCTACTTTTAAAAGTGTCAACTATATATGTCTGGTATATGTCAACTACACAGTTGACACATGAGCGATACGACTCTACAAATGGTGATTCTACGATGTTAGTGCCCTTTTTTTTTTTATAGGAAGGGTCATCTTGGTAAGCAAGGCCGTTAAAACTCACAAGCATTGATGAACTCGTACGTTCCGCGGAACACGTTGACAGTGTCGTTAGGGAAATCGGTGTAGAAGCTGATGACTAGTGTCCTGGTTAAGTTACCATCGTGTATGCCATCATAAGTGACAATTAGCCGTCCGTCGAAAGCGTAATCAAACAACAACAACGACGTTTATACTATTAGAACACAGAAATTATGAAGATGTACTATATGGCTACATAAATCATTGATCTATACATTTGATTTGACTTGGCGCGCCAGATATTCTCTTGCCGTTGAAAAAAGTTACTTTTATAATTAGGAACTACATAGATGTAGTGGCTTTAGATATGGCACAAAGGGTCTATTTAGAACAGAAAGGAAACGGTCGAATTTTACCTGTAAACGGATATCCTCCGTCGGGGGTAGATTCTTCCGCAAAAGCGTCCACCGAACGGCGAGCTGATCAGCTCAGCCGATGGGTCCTGCACCTCACTATAAATGTCGATGTACTCGTGGTTACATCTGTAATTGATAACGAAAACCATTTCCTTCATTCGTTTACTAGCGTTAAACGTGAACAACAACACCGAAGTAGTGCATTCCGAGTGGAATAAGGCTGGAATATCGGCAAACCCTTATACTGTCGAAGGCGACGTACGAAACTTCGGAAGCCAGGTAATTTGTGCTGGGATAGTTTCGTTCAAAATGAATACTAGACACATAGCCTGCCAATGGGGAATGGAACAAGTAGATGAAAAGTAGCCATGTCATTTAGGTTTGCAGCATGTAGCAAAGAAAAAAAGGTAACCCATAAAAATCTAAACCTAAAGGTCATCTATGGAAACAGCATCATCGAAGGTTTATACCGAAATGTATTGATTTCGGCCTCTTCATCTGCACAAATTCATTTTCACAAAATTAGGTACCACAAAATCTGTTCCATCTTCTGAAATCTAGAAACAGCTCAGGATCAGGTTTCGAAGTGTATTCAGGTTCACTCCTTCCGCGGAGTCTGGGCCTTTAGTATATGATAACTATGAGTTCTTTAGAAAGGTAGAAAAGCCTATCGTTTTGACCTTGCAAAAAGGATGAAGCAAACGGCATATGAGACAGTGTTCTCTCAATATATCTGAGTTTCTTCGAAAAAAAGATCTCCGACCATTGGAAAGTTCGACATTGAATTTGTAGATTTGTACTTAACAACGCTGGCTGTAGCAAAATACGCTACATGCCGCATATAGGAAAAGCTCGTCTCAGGCGCCGTGTTTCGAATTTGGTAAACCTATGCTTTGGTATCTTTCCTAACACGGATACTGTTTTGCGTCACTGTTGCCCTTTTAGGAGTTGCCACTTATCAATATTGTACGCTGCCCGCATCGATTGGTCAGCCACAGGGCTAGGCCTTTTGTCTATTCGGAACGGTTTAGTCTTATATTATCCAACTGGGCATAAATTTGTACATAGTTCTAACGTAAAATAACTAAACCAAGAATGGAAAGAACCATGGAATCTTGTTACCAGTGCAAGGGTGTTTTAAGCGTGGCTATAAGCCCGCTAATGCTATATGGCCAAACTTGTTTCTACCATACACCTGAAGCTTTCTAAAGTGTACGCTCATCTAGGACAGGTTACCACGTCAGCTTTGACACATGTTACAGCACAGCGTCCGTGATAAATTTTCAAAATGAAGGCTCACGGTGATTAGATTTAACCCAATGTAACAATGGTTTATCTAGAGATTTCGAAGCCCCCCTGCATAAATCCCATACCTTAGCCAGCTATAAAACTCCTCTGCTTTAGGCGTTAAGTAACTCGAACACCAGGCTGAAATAAGTATCGACTCGCGTCGTGAATACGTAACTAATAGAGTTTAGTGATACGGACAATGTAAGAGCGGGTTGATCAACGTAAACCATGAGATCTGCAACGAATTACTATTGCTATGGGCAACCCCCCATTGTCGTTCGCTTTTTCTGGGATAGGCTTCGCGGGTATGAATTTCTCTGTAGAAGTGCTAAAAAAGGAAAGAGTTTTCTATTATCTATACTCCGATGGCGTTTAGGCCGATGTCAATCCTACACACTTTTTATTCTCTCGTATATTTTTCTATATTTTGTTGCATATATCCAGATGTATATGTCTCATATCAGTTCGTAAGTTCCATAAGAAAATTGTGGTGACAGACATGCGACAGGGCGAATGAAAAGAGATAAGTTTCAAAGTGTTTGGTAGACCCTTGAAATTCCTTCTTTTGGATGATGGCCGATTGTTGATAAAATGTTTCCCCGCGATTCAGCTGTTACATTTGACCACTTCGTTTGTCAAAGCCTGCCTCTGTACCAGTGCCACAAATCGAATCTGCTGCTATCGTATCGGTCAAATTTGTGACTGACTTTACCACTGAGTGGGCCTGCAGGTACTTTATCGATTGGTATGAGCTGCAGGCAATATGCAAATCACGAACTCTTGTTTTTTTTGCATACAGCAATCTAAGTGTGCGATTTGACCAGATCCATAAAAAGTTTCATACTTTAGTCTTTTTTTTTGCTGGTAAATTAAAAACTAAAACTTCGCGAAGAAACTAGATTCATTGTAACTACGAAGATATGAAAGAAGAGCGGCTACGGTTCCTCATACAACATGCCCGCTATGACCGATAATAACAACATATGGAAATTAAGCAAAATCAGCTTTGCTTTTGTTGAAAAAGCACTTCGGATACCAGAATTCGGTGAAATTGCATCGTCTGAACAATATGTTCTAGACTTTTCTTTGTAGTCGACGTATTTCAACCAATAATCCTACTCCTTTTTTTGGAATTCACATAAGATTCTCCTATTCAATCTGCAACATGTAAAGGCTTTCAGTGGTTTTTTTTTTTAATATATATATAAATCTAGGTATGACAAGCGCAAATAGATTCGGCTTGCAACACTAACTGGACATATGAGCAGCTTCTGATAAATTACGAAAGAGGGCGCTGCGCCAGGAAGCGGTCGGTGCGTCTCGCTACCTTCTAGATAAAATTGAAAGTAATCAGATTCACGGATGGTACCGTCGGCTGGTTGGTTCATAGAACATTACACTGAACCCAACCAGCCAGCCAGCCAGCCAGCCAGCAAAAGTAAATTATAGAACAATAAACAAGTCATTATAGACGAGGCATGGCTAAACTTTTATCGCTAGCTGTTAAGGTAGCAGGCAAAAAAATAGCGACGCTGTAAAAAGAAGTTGAGTTTGATGAGGTGCCAAATAGGTTCGGCCGTAAGGTGATGATACTTTCTTATAATGGACCTCAAAGACATCTGTTGCTGAAACAGTCAATGCAGACTTTTATCTCGAATAGTTCATTAAAGGACTTATGAATCGTCTATACGGCAATCCGAAGCACGCAGTCTAACTACCTGATGATAACGCCAGGCCTCATCGCAATGCCTCAATTAGTTTCTTGATTGCGTAAACGAATACCCAACGTTGGCTTTAACTCACTTATGCTTTCGACCAAGGTTTATACGATCACGGAGCTTTGTATGCCCTAAAATCGACAACCGGTAGGTAAGGATATATATATATGTAGATTGTTTTTTTCACTTCCAGTTATGGGGTTACTTTAAGTTGATTAAGAAGTTGTGTTTTCTTTTTGATGAGTTATCACTTACTCGGGCGGCGAACCCCTAACCCGGAAAGTAGTAAATGTTACGTCCACCCGTTCTCCTGGCTGCGCGATGAATGTATAAATGCATTGGCGCGCCCTGCTACCTAAACCTCCAGAGCCTGCACCGCCTACGCTATTTGATCCACCTGAAATGAACACATCAACGAATGATTCCAATTACTGAGAGTGGCACTTTTTCTCTCACCAGTGCCGTTTTTTTTTTGGATATAAAAAAAAGTTATTATCTTTAGTAGAATCTTAATTGAACTATAGATATTAAGAAAAAAAAACCGTTTATGAAATAAGAAAATAAAGAGACACTGGCTATTATGACAACTAACTTATGTCAGGAAGAAAACTAAGGGAGTAATCATTCAATCGACCGGTGTTTCACTGCAATCTCTAAAAGTAAAAATTTACGCTCGAACAAGCACAACAAATAGATGCCGTTGCGACTGTTAAATAAAGCTGAAAAATATCAATTCCTTTCTGATTTATAAACGAAGTGGCTTAAACAAAAACTTCAAGTTCAAATGAAAGTTTATCTCTCTTTTAAATTGTAGATCACTTAGTCTAATAGGAACTAACAACAAACGAAAACAGTATTCCCGTAAGCTAGCCCAACGTTCATTCTATTAGTTTTGACAGAACGAATAACAAATGGCCGAACCTTGGTGTTTTTCTTGTATTTTATTCAAACTATGAGCATATGCATACAAGGTTCTAAATGCGTTTATCCCTTTAACAATCAGCTTTAATAACATCTTTAATAACCCCTTTAATATCATCAGACTGACTATTGTTTGAATCGTGCCAACGTCAATATGACATAGCTAGCAAGCAATAAGAGACACATTATTAAAGAGAAAATCTATTATTACAGATAGTTTTACTTCTGCGATCTGACTCAATTAGATGGAAGCAGCTTTTCATTCCTTTATTTATTTATTTTTTTTTTTTAGGGTTTTTAGATTCTGCTAAAGAACGCGTCAGTACGAGCTTATCTACCCTTCAAGCATAATTAACAATACAACGTACCGTTGGTGCTAGTGGGTATCGTCGGCCCGCTACTTATAATGTCCATGTGCGGGGCGGAAAAGGTGCCATTACGTGCGCCCTCTGGAGTCGAAATGAACATGCGGTCACACTCTGCAAATAGAGATAGGGCCAAACAATGAGAAAGAAACATATTTAACAAAGTTAATATTAATATAATCATCATCGATATATACACAGGGCTGTAGGACATCTGCGTATTACATCTGCTTATCCTTACCACTCTAGCCAACAATGAGACTTTGCCACCCAAGGATTTGACACTGAACGTATAACATTCTTTTAAAATTTTCTTCTTTTTCAATTCATTTAGCCACGGGTCTCTGTGGTTTAATTGTAAGATTCTAGCGAAAACAGGCGATCTTTATCAGCTTCTATCTTTGTAAGATTCGATCACGGGGAAATCTACCATACTCACTACTACTACGAACAACTACAATTTATCGATTATCAATGACCCGATATAATTTCCACCATATAATACGCAGTCAAATATGTCATTCGTTTGATAAGAAACTTCTCGGTAGATACTGCTATACAGGCGGCTAGCTATACGTTAACGTGTGAATTCTACGCTAGTATCTGCAATATGTAAACATTGTTACGGATAGATGTTTTGCACGGCGAGTCGGGACGACGAGCACCGGAAACAGTGGGCGACCTTTCCACGAAAATGGGCCGCATTCAACACATACGACGAGCTTTGAGGAAAGGGCTCATGTAAGATATTGATCACATTCGCGATATTCTAAGTCCCGATCAGCCTTTGATGGTATCGTTGGCCGAGCTAGTCGAAGGTAGATCGGTTAGAATGAGTATTACGTAGCAGCGTGAGGAGAGTGTACAACTCGAGCCACCTATCCTCAGGTTTTCAAAGGCCACTTTTCCAGTTTGCAATCTGCCACTCCCCCTCACTGCACCAATGTGGGATTTCCAAGCTACTGATATAGGGCAACAAAACTATGAACCTTTCATTGGTACTGTGAAAACAAGACCTGCTTAGAGTAGCTAGACCAAGATACGGATACAATAGCGGGTCGGCTGGGTATCGCGGGAAATAACAGCATTAAATTTATACGACACGTGAGCCAAAAAGACACCTCGATATTGTCGTGAATTTCAATAAAGCACGGTTTTGGTGAGCTAATACCAATCGAATACTTTCCACGCAACATACTGAAACCACTGTGTGACACTTAAGGACATTATAGGAAGACGTGTAAAGTTCGCCTAGAAAAAGAAAACAGATTCCTCTAAGCATTGTCTTGACTGAAAGTTCGTAGTGAAAAGCACGTAGATAACTACGTGCTACTTTATACAAAAAAGAATTTATTCAGCACGCTCGTAAAGAAAAAGAAGATGAATTTTTCCATCAGAGTTGGTTGTTTACATGGCTCTATCTAATCTTCTCTGTAGCCTCTAAGCCACCGAACGATCACTTCAGCGCTGGTCAGATGGACATCGTTGTATTAGACAGGGCCCTTGGGAATACATTGGACGTTGCACTAGCAAGCACACGGCTCACTAGCACTTTTAGGACCAGGTTCCAGCTAGCCGAATGACATTGTTTGGTAACTTCAGTGACGCGAACTTAATGAAACGACAACATAAGGCTCTATCGAGATCTGTTGAATCCCTCAATTTCTATATTTTCTCTATTTCTATAATACACAGGTGCAAATAGCTAACTATAGGGTTTTTTTATTTGAAAGTACGTGTGACTATAGTGCCAGAAACAACAGACTAATAGCATACTGACCAATACTATCATCCGCCAGTGGCCAACATTTACAGTATTTGTTGGAACTTATAGGTTCAAATATATATAATCTTCGCATGTCGTTAAGGCCATCTGCACTTCGGACAGTGCATGACTTCGGTGACGCCGTTTGTTTTTATGTCGTTCCATGCTTTTTTTATACGTGATCTTTATGTTTGACACATATGTTACCAAGGCTTGTCAAAGGCCCTCAAGTGAGCCTGTTAATAGTTCAACAATGTCCCTCAGGTGTATGGGCTTTACAAAGAAGCGACGGTTTAATAGATTCCAAATCTCCATGCATATATTTTGAGACTAAAAATAGTTTTAAATTGCTCTATTATCATTTTGCCAATACGTTCCAGGCAGTTGTTCTCGATTTCTTTCAAAAAAGGAGGGCATTAGACCCTTAAAACTTTCTCGTTACCCAAATCCACCTTGAACCATTGTAGCAGATCTGAATGTTGCCGAACACGAACAATTGGCCTTCCGTGACTTTTACGATTCGAAAAGCGGAAGATTTATAGCACTTGATATATATA